TCAAAACCGGTGGTTGTCAAATGGTAGAGCATACAGCAGAGGATTCCTCTGCCAGCGTTTCTTATGCACTCACTCTGTGGTGGGGCTCCAGATATGGTGTTTTAACAAGTTAACAAGTGCTGCTGTTGTTCAGGGAACACGTTTTGAGAACCCTTGATCTAGGTTAGGAATTAGCCATTAGATAATAAAATGTTTCTTTATAAAAGACATTTGTATTTTATTCAGTATCAGAGGACAGTTAAGGTATTCAAATATTTTAATCAGATTAATTAATATTTTACAAATTACCAAAAACCATGTTTTCAGTTATCTAGGGACAGGGCCAGAAACTGAGCCAATCAACTTTTTTATCAATGACCTAAGCAAAAATTTTTGAGCAATTTTTTATATCTCATCAAAGACTCATAAATATTTTCAACTACCACCTTTTCTTCTCTTTTAATTTAGCCCATATGTAAATAGCTAAAATGCAATGTGGTTGTTTAAAATAAGACCAATAATAATATTTTGGTACTCTATGTATTATAATGTAAGATGCTTAGCTATATGTTTCTATAATTAGAAAAAGCATCATAATGAAACATGTTACTTTTGTTATAGTGTTTTTCCCTCAATATCCCGCACCTGTCCTCCCACTCCAGACTTCATGTTTTATTGTGAACTGACACTCTTGCATGGTGAAGATAATATTACTGATAGAAGCCTATGTACTCAATATAAAGCAAGCAGATTTTGTCACTATCCAATAGGGAAATCATACAGAGGCTGTCAATCACACAGTAGGCAAGATTACATTATCAAAATGATACACCTGTGACATATAGTCCAAAATCAAACTCAAAAGGGACTAATTAAAGATTGGCTGGTATATACCCTGACTATGTTGGAAATCATTCCATTCTTGCATGAATATGAAATTGGTGATTTAATAGGCTTTCACTTTTATAATAACTCTTATCATCTATGCACTGTCAACAAAATATATATGAGAAAATCTTTTAATTCAACTAATCTGAAAGTAATTCCATTTGGCTATTGAAAGTCTTATCTAATATTTGTACAATTTCTTCAGTGTCACCTTAACATACTTCTGAGCTGTCATATTGAACAGACAGGCTCAAAGTCAGTTCTGATGTTTCCCTTTGTGTTCTTAAAAATGAAGAAATGCATTCTAAGCAGTTTTGTATTTATGTAAAAACAACAAATAAATACATGCAACAAAAAAGTAAGTTTAGAATAAGTTTATGAGTACAGTTCATTTTTAAGAATATAGATAAAAACACTTTAAAATTCTTTCTACAATTCTAAAAAGTTCCCCACAATCCCAGTATCATGGCTCCATATTCATGGCAAATGATATAAGAATAGGTAAAGTATTATGTGGATATATATAATAACTTTAAAACATAATCTAATAAATCTAACAACTTTAAAATAAAAGCAACATAAAAGTATGGTATTTAATGAGTCATAGTTTTATGATGATAAAATATTAAAAATTCAAGGAATGCTCATTAATGCTTTTGTTTTACACATTATCACAAGTCTTTAGAACAAAGGTAAGGAGGTTTGGGTAAGGAAGTACCTAAAACACCCCACTATAAAGGGGCTATACCTGCACAACCTTGTTATTCAATGCTTTATTGTGATATAAGTATATTTAAAGATTTAAAGTGCATATTCTCTACAAATACTCTACTGTACTTAGAGTAAGCAGTATCAGTATATGCTGTTTATTAAAAGCAAAATAAACATTTGTCTTCTCAAGTTCAGAAATACCGACAATGAACTCCAAGAGTGAAACCTTCAGAATGTTGTACATCTAAAACAGATTTGCCCAGCACATTGCACAACAGTATCTAGCAATACCTAAATCTATTGCAAAACAAATTTGCTTTCACTTCTGTCTTCTCTTTGTTTTTTTCTTTTTCTATCATTCCAGGAAACTAACTGCTTAGACCTTGATTTCTTCTCATCCACAATTTACTAACTACTTATCCTTTAACATTAAGACCAAGCAAGTCTTACCTACCTTTTGAAGCCTTTTCAGATGCAATCAGTATGAAATGTTATTGTCATGCTCTGAATTGCTGTAGCCCTTTTTAGATATGCAATCTTTTATTGTCATGTTAACTCTGTTTAAAGCATGCAAATCAGATTTCTCTCAATTGGCCAGTTAGTTCCTAGGGATAGGAGCAAGAACCCCCACAATGCCTAGACAGTACACATGATAAGTCTTTTAGAATGAGTATTATGAGTTATAAAATGCAATAAAAAATTGAATAAACTTATTGTAGGAAATAATAAATGGTTCACTTTTCTACTTTATGACTTTCTGTAAATTAACATTCAATGGTGTAAATGATAATTTTAAAATAAGTAACAATTGGCTCACTCTTTGAGAGTGTCAAAGAACAGATATTCATAAATACAACTTTCAATGATTGCAGTTACACGGTTCATCAATGACATTTCTTAATCACCAAGTATCCCTGTGTTTCAATGGTTTCAGATATTTAAGGTAATGACCCTCAGAGTGGGATTCTCCATCTAAGTTCTAAACTGCACGTGCCAACTCAGAAAGCTGAGGCAATAGGATTGTAAATTCAAAGCCAGCCTCAGCAACTTAGCCAGACCCTCAGCATCTTAACAAAACCCTCTCCCAAAATTAGAAAAGAAAATTAAAAGGACTGGAGATGTGGCTCAGTCATAAAGCACCCTTGGGTTCAGTCCTCAGGACCAAAAGGAAAAAAAAAAAAAAAACTGCACATGTGTCAGTGCTGAAGATATATTTTAAACTAATATGAATCTAACCAAATCAAGTCCTTAACTCAGCTTCTTGTTTCTAATGAACAGGACTGTCAAGAAATACCACCTTAGGTACAGGGAGGTGGTGCACACCTGTAATTCCAGTTACTCAGGAGGCTGAGACCTGAAGATCATAAGTTCTAGGCCAGCCAAGGCAAATTAGGAAGACTCTGTCTCAAAATTGAAAATTAAAAGGCTGAGAGTGTACCTCACTTAAAGTGCCCTGGATTTAATCCTTAGTACAGGAAATTAAAATCTACCTTCATATTTTGGTGGTGCTGGGGGGCATGGGGACAAACAATTGATAGTTTTTGCAAAAAAAAAAAAAATTTGATCAAGCTTCTTAATTAAATCAAATGAAGACAAATCACTCTGACAATAGGGTTGATCAGTTTACTTCTCTGTGAAATAGTTATAATATGGAATTTCAATGTTGTAAGAATATTGTGTTTGGCAAGAACTTAGAAACACCTCAGTTTAAAATTAAGTTAAGGATGCTGTTCTACTATCACAATTCAGTCAACAGTTTGGAGTTGCTACTTTTAAGGACAAATAGAAATTTGCTAAGTGACAGACACTGTCCCAAGTCATCTCTAAGCTTCAGGTTATGTCTTTGGAATGTGTACTTATTACAAAGCAATAGAATGAGAAACCAAAACAAACTAATTATGTTGTAGCCTAAATTAACAGCATGCTATGTCTTCCCTTAATATCTAGTTTTTAAAATCAGTAGAAATATATATAACCTCACTTGGTAGTCTGTTTCTCTTTCCTTACAAGGCTTTTAATAGAATTAGCTTTATGTAAAAAATGTCTACATATTATTTTTAATAGCCTTTAGGAAGGAGGGAGAATGAAAAATGTGTGATATTTTAGTAAAAAAGTATTCAACTGCAAATATTTCAGAAATGAGAGCTGATGAAAACAAGCAGGTATTTTCTGTCTTGTGGGTCCAGGACCCACAGAGGTAAGAGGAGTGGAGACTAGGGCATTAGAAACGTTATAGGGCAAGAGATCTGTGACTTCTAAGGAGCTTATTTTTTTTTTAACTTGTGATTCTCTGACTTCCTTCATTTTATATTGCAGGTCCCATGAGAAGATGGAAAAAAAGCAAAATTGCTTCAAATTCTGTGAGACAAGGGGAGAGGAGGAAGAGGCTCAGGATACACTGAAGGAAACCCCGAGAAATTTCACAACTCTTTGCCATAAATAGCCTTTCTTCTCACTCTGGATACCTCCTCCTTTACATCAGCAAGACTCAGCCTCCACGCGCAGAGAAGCACCATTCACAAATCCCTCTGTCACCCCTTCGTGCACCCCTACCTCTTGTTGGCACCGTGTGTCTGATTCCCTGGAACACAAGCCAAAAGATCAGAGGCCTGGGAGTCACCTGCAGTTTCAGATGAGGGCTGACTTTCTGCTCAGGTGAACCAAGGCACTGATTAGTCCGGAGTGCGAACACACACGAAGAAACACACACACTCACACACTCTCTCGCCGCCCCCCCCCCTCTCTCTCTACGCGCCACCACAAAGCAATTTGTTCACTCTAAGTCGCCGCTGTTGCCACCACGGGGGAGGGTCACCCCTCCAATCCAGGAAGCCAAAGGACAACCAGGCGCAGGCAAGAGACGGTCGGGGATCCGTCGCTGTGGCTCCCACCGGAGCCCCGGGCTCCCCGCCCCCTCCCCTTCCTCCCCTCCTCTCCTCCTCCCCTCCTCCTCACCGTCCCCGCCCTGGCACCCGCAGCCCTGGACGCCAGCGCTGGCCCGCCGCCCCTACCTGCCGGACGCGAGCCGCGAAGGAGGGGAGCGGCCCAGAGCCTGCTCCAACTCTTGCCTCCTTGGCGGGCCGCGCTCCGCGTCGCCCTGGAGCGGCCGCCGGGGCCGCAGGGAACAGGACGCACAAGAGCGCAGAGGAAATGGCCACGCAGCGCAGCCGGAGTCGCGGGCCAGCGGCGAGCGAGCCGGTCCTCCTCCCTCCCACCCAGCCCACAAGGCCAGGTCTCCGCGCCACGTACTCGGGGCCCGCGGCCGGCGCCCGGGGCCTGGGTGGGGGCTGCTCGGGAGCGGCCCCGGCACTGCGCGGTCACCTGCCGGGCGGTCATTCCCGCGTCCCCCAGAGGCCGGCCCTGGCGCAGCTGCGACGCGACGCGCGACCCGCCGGGCGCGGGGGCACCGGAGGCGTTACTACCTTGAGGGCTCCGCGCCGCTTGTTAAGGCTCGTCCTGGGCACTCAGGGATTTATGTCTTCGGGGCACGGGCTGTCCTTCCTGGTCCCCCTCCTCTGTCCTCCCTCCCCTTCTCGACTGTTGGGCTCCTTCTCTCCACTCCCAGTTGCACAGAGTCGAGCTGCGTTATTTAATAATCCTCCTGCTCCTCCTGCCTGCGCCAGCAGAGCTGCTCTGCCTGAGCCACCTCTTCCCAGTCAGTCATGTTGTTGAGAGAGGCGGATTGGCAGTCGATCGGCGACTATTTGTGGTGAGGAAGAGAAGAGCAGAGCAAGAGGAGGGCAGGGGAGGGACGTGGGGAGGCGCTTCCAAGTGTGTGAGTGCGCGGAGTGTGACTGTGTGTGGAGTGCAGAGAGCCACCTCACTGGCAGGCCGTGCTCAGGAGCTGTGAGAAGGGTGGTCAGGAGCGCGGCCTTTATAGACGCGGGTGGAAGAGTTGGCCTGGGGCGGGGGCAGCCTGGTGGGCGGTGCCGGGCCAACTGAGTGGCCGGATACCGCGCACGCATACTCTCACATTAAAGCGCGCACACCCACTGCTGGCCCGCTGCTGAGTTTTCATTTTAGGGGAAGCAATATCCGACGGTGCTGACTTGGCTTTCCCCCCAGCCCATCCTTGTATATGTCGAGTCCAAGTGCATTGGCAGCTCAAGGACTAGAGACTAGTAGGACTCTGAAGAGAAACGAAGCAGGGATGCTGGAAATGCACTGTATCTGTTTTTCTCCAAGACACTGATGTTGTCTTCTCTCCCTTCCACCTCTAAGGGAGGAAATTATGAGGTACTTTTTCCTTTTTTTTTTCTTGTCAGCCGCCCCATTCATATTCTGACAAGTCTTTTCCTAACACAGTAACAAGAAAAGAAACCTGACTTCTTTCCTTTAAGCAGGTCACGCCTCCCAGGAACCATTTGCAGCAATCAATTCTTCTGTAAGATAATGGAAGCACTGCAACTATGACTGAGTGGGACTTGTGTTCCTATATGTAAGGTCCTCAACAATACAGGCATTTTGAACAGAACTAGCTACGATTTGACATCATTTGACTGATAGCCCCCTAGAGAAAATTTGCCAGTTTAGAGATGGAGAAGACTTCTGATGCATGATGATTTTGCTTACCTAATTTATTTTTCCTTGGTCTTTTTTCTTCTTGCACTGCCTCATTTCCTTCAGGTTTGCATTGGGCCTGGAACTCTTTCCCCTCCATGCCCTTCTTGAGCTCCACTCCTACATATTTTGCCTTTAGTAGCTACTACAGCAAATATAGTGCATATTGTATGTGTGTGTGTGTGTGTGTTTATGTAAGAACCATTATTGTTAACCCATTGTGATGGAATGTAATACCACTTTTAGGTAGGTAATACATCCTGATATTAAGTAATGTTGAGTTTGTTCACCTGTCCTCTCCTCTCTAGCCCCTTATTTATTTCCTGCACATATTGCAAGATCTTTGTCATCTGATGTACTTCTATATTGGAAAACAGGAAACATGCAATCTACACTTCTTTCAAGTGTGTGTGTGTGTGTGTGTGTTTTCTGTAGAGTCTAGCCACAGTCTGACTTTTAAAATGTGCCTATATTGGGAGTAAAAGCAATGTGTACTTTTTGTGTGAATCTTAGTGATTAATGTGTACTTTGGCATTGGAAACAACCCAGTTCTGAGGTAACAACTTTGGGATTTTTTTTAAATATGTGACAAAAGAAAACATTTAAGAATATAGGGAGTCAGTGGCAAGGTTGACAATTCATGTTTCAAATCTTCTTCTGTGGGTGATGACCATTGCTATATCTACAGTATTTCATCATATGCCAACCCTTTATGTATTCTCCATATACTTTACCTTTTTCACATTGACATTGCTACCTCCAGTTCTTCCATGTCTCATACAATGAGTTTAGAGTTCTTTTAAAACGGCTTAAGCATACAAGCAAGATTAATAGAGATATTAATAGGCGTGTGTAAAAAACAGAGATATTGTAAAGAAAGGGCAACAAAGTAGATGGATAAGGACAAGTGCAGAAATATCAAATATATATAAGTATGAAATATTGTAACTTCTTTGATTAAGCATTATAAAATGGATATGTACTAACACAGGATGTTGACACTTAATGTGCACCCTATGAAACAGCTATTGATATTTCCTCAATTGGACAGGTCAGGATTTGGGTGGTAAGTAGTTAACAGGAGATCAAACAAACACCAAGTGATGCAGCTATAGCTCTGTTTAACTCTACTGTCCACATGGCTTCCCATTCAAAACTCCTAGATCAGTTAAAAATCTTAAAAGAGTTTCCTTTGAGCTTTTGATAATCATGAAATCAGCTGGTCTGTAATCTTCGGACATTTTCCTTCTACATCCCTCCTTTTATATTGCAAGAGAAGTTTATAAAATATACATTTTTTAAATGTAGGCAAGAATTTATAAAGTCTTAACATACTTGGACTCAAAGATGGAGTTAGAAAACTTCCCCACAGGCTTTAATGAAAGAAATTGTCATTGCAAAGGGAATTTTGCAGAAGAGTTATTTCTGAACACTTGCATCTAGTTAATGAATATGTGATTTATTAGGGGCTGCAAGTAGACATTTTTAAAAGTTCTGTTCCCCCTTGAATAGCAATGCTTAATCATATTGGGTAAAATTTTGGTAGTTTTATTGTCCTGATTCTCTATTTAATTGTCACCTATAATGATAATTTGATTATGATCTATAATGAATACTTCAAAATTATATATTAGATCAGATATTTCAAGGGCATTTTTGGTAACTGCAACTGATTGTAATTTTCACACTCTCAAATTGAATTTATAATTAGTGAGAACCATGACAATCTGTCAATTGCCTTTTTCATTAAGGTATTGAATAAAACTAACATTTCTTGCTTATTTTCTGATACTTTTCTTTCTAAATGAAGATTAGAATTCATATGCACTACCCAGAAAGATACACAAAAATATATGACTTAAAACACGTCTGAAAAGTTGATTCATTTTAACTATTTTGTATTTTTGTTGAAAAATGAGCACGAGAAACTCCATTTATAAATTTTAATGAACAGCAGTTTAGAAGTTTAGTAAATGAATTATTCTCTTTTAAGATTGTTTAATGTTTCAAGTAGAATTTCCCGCTTTGCAACACATTCAATGATATAATTTTTGTTGTGATAGAAAAACAGAAAGCTAATGACTCTTTCCAATTTGTTCATTTTCATCTCTTGTATGCTTGCTGCTGTTTGGTTCCCAAGTGCATTTAACTGGCAAGTTCAATGAAGACTTGGCATTGCACCATTTGATAAAAGCAGAAAAATTAGGTTGCCAATTACATATGTGCCCCTTATGTGCACTGAATTCCCACTGAAGTGATGAGCCAAATTAGAAATTCCTCAGTAGTAGTACCTAGAAAAGACAATTAGAACTCAGGAAAGGTAAAAGATATCATTTTTATTTCCAATCTCATTACCAGTCAGATCTAAGGAAGTGAATTAACTTTTTAATACAATTGCCAAACAATGTAAATTAGATTTCATTAAAAATTTAAAAATTGTCTCCATTTGGTTTTCTCTTACCCTGGTATTTTATTGTTTTTTGCTTTGAATTCCATGATTATCCAATCATGATGGAGGAAAGTAAAGATCATTTTCCTCCTTTGCTTTATCCTAATTACTATGGTTTTAATGTGTTTCCCAAAGTTTATTCCTGTATTGTAGACCTGAGCTCTGAATTCACATATTGATGATATTTGAAGGTAATGTCACTGGGAGATAATTGAGATTAGATGAAGTCATGGGGATGGTGGGGGGGCATGATAGGGATTAGTGGCTTTATAAAAAAAAAAAAAGAAAGAAAGAAAGAAAGAGACCTGAATTTGGATGCTGTCTTACCATGTGATGCCCTCTTCTATGTTATGAGGCAGCAAGAAGGCCCTTGCCAGGTGCCAACACCTTGATATGGAACCTCCCATCTTCCAGAGCTTTAGAAAATAAATTTCTTTTCTTTACAAATCACCCAGTCTGTGATTTTCTCTTATAGCAGCAAAAATGGATTAAGACGCTAACAGTATGAAAGAAATAAAAAAATGTTAGTATTCTGGATTTCTTCCATATAAATAAGAGGTAAGTTATCCTTTTGTGGTGACTATTGAAATATGAAAGGGACACTATGGGTACCAATTGAGCAACAGGAGCAGTTAAACCAGATGAGAGCTGCAGCTGATTCTTGGTTCAAGACAAGGGGACTGATAAGAAAGTATAAGATGATGATATGCAGATTTGTTCAGTTGCAGTTCTGGGTTCAATATCAAAAATTCCATCTTAATATGGAAAACTCTCTTAATTGGGACAATCTGCCAAGTAGACAAGGCCCAGTAGACAAGAATTTAGAATTATTTTCCCTAAATTTGGTAATGGTATCTATTACTTAGTAAACTGTCTTTTACAGCAGAAATTCTGCCCAGTGGCAAGACAGCAGGATTTATTTATGCAAAAACCTATGCAGAAGCTAAACCCAGGTTACTAGGTCAAAACACTCACTGCATGAGCTGTCTTTGATCCGGAAACTACACAGACAACTAGGATCCATCCTGTAGGGCAGATTTGGGAACAAGTCTATTAAGGTTCAAGTAAGCCAGTATCCTTGTATCTGGGCTACCATGTTCCAGGTTTATAAAGTGTTGTAATTCTAAGCCCATTTACTGGGCCAGGGCTTGGAAAGAAAAGGACTGTGGAATGCATGTCTGACCCATCAACTGAGTGGATCCTAAGTTTCCAAAGACAGCTACCCAGTTTAAGAAGGTGAAAAAGTTGAAATGGTGGAAGGAAGTTAAGAGCTGACAACAGCACAATGAAACTAGTATTCTCTGAATTTATGCCTCTCTGTTTTTTCAGGTAGGTAAACTACATTAAAATAATGTTTATCAGATAAATCAAAAGGATTCTTATAAGCAGGTTCACTATTTGAAACTGCTTTTTTTATAGTTAGCTTATACTTGTTTCTATTTTCTAATATCACTAATGAGGTACTCAGGGAAATTGCTTCAGAAGTCCCTGTCTTTGCATACATTTATGCTTAAATACTTATTGTTGTTTTTTTTTTTCTGATTGTAATGTTTTTAAAAATTAGCCCAATTAATTGGTTAATTTTTGGTGTCTGTTATGGGTTATATCTAACAAAATGACTTTTTTTAATGAGGCTTTAGAGTCTTTCTTCTATAATTATTCCCAGATCTATGTGGTTATAGGCATTTCATTAAAACAAGTAGAATTTGACACATACCAAAATAAGGCATCAATTAAATCATCCTAAAATTAGTATATTGATAAAATCTGAAAATAACACTTATCATATAATAGATTAATTTTAACAATAAAAGAAACAAAACTGTAATACTAAAGTACTCTTGTACTACTTAATATATAGTCAACAAATAATGCTAATAAAATAATCTAAACCAGGCTAAACCAGTAAGACAGCAGGCTGGAAACTGGTTTTACCATCTGTCAATTTTTATACTGGCAATATCACAAATGAGATCTCTCTTTAACAAAACATCACAGCAGGAGATACAGACATGTGAATTGTAATTAAAATGTGAAAACTGAATTTCCTAGCTTTTGTCATTTACACAAAGCTCCTCTTAGAGTGAAATTTAGGCTTATGAAGTTATACAAAGTGGAAGTCATTTTATTTTGCCAAATCTATATACAATTTGACCAAAATATATCTTCAGTAATGAATGTCTGGGCTTTCATGAATGAAAGGGTATTTTCCTTAGGTCTGGTTCAGTCAGTAATGAGATTCAATTACTTTTTAATCATGCAAGTCTAGAAGATGAAGAGAAATAATTTGTATATTTTTATGGAGTCAGTCTAGATCTGCTGAGGACTAATATTATTGCTTTACATTTATTTACCATTATGTTCTGTAGATAAAAAGATTATCAAATTTTATTCACTTTTTTTCTTATTTTTTCTTTGCCCGGGGGAGGACTAAATCAGAGACTTACCCCTGTAATAAAAAATTTGCCCATATTTTATAGCTGGGTGAATACTAGTGTTCCCATGTTTTAGCATTTAGATTATCAAGCAAACCGAAATTTGTAACATATAGAATGTGACTATCATTTTTTGCTACATATATGGAATAAATATACAAAAAAAGCAATAGTAGTGTATTTCAAGTTGAAATAGCACATTCACATTCAAAAATGTCAAAATTTGTATTTTTAGTCCCCACTCTTAGTATCTTGTCTTTTTTCTAGAAATTTTGGTTAATTTTACAGTAAATAGATATTCTTAACATTAGTTACTATGTAATGTATTATTATATGGGTATATTATATATTCAAACATATTGTATCCCTGACCTACCATAGGGGTGTAACAATGCTTCTATTTGCACTGTCATTATTTCTAATTTTCCTTTAAATATTAATATTTTTAAAACAGAATGGATATCAAGGTAGGAGTAAGTCATTGAATCACCACATAATTGCATATTTTAAATATGACTGTCAAAAATGTTACATCCCACAACCATCTTTTAGTGGTAAGAATTTTGTCCTTTTTTCTTTACCTTAACCAACCTTGATGATGGCTTCAACTAATAGAATTGATAAAAATGTTATATGATTTCCTAAACTAGGCCATAAAATTGACATTCACTTTTTATTATTATTTTCTTGGAATACTCTATCTTGGAACAAAGGTACTGGCTGTAGGGAGGCCAAACACCTCATGTAGCCGTTCACATGGAGAAAAACTGATGCTTCTGGTCCTTAGCACCATCTGACAGACCCACATGCAACCAGAACAAACTTGCCAACCATGTCCTGAGCCATCTTGGAACTAGGTTCCCCAGTTCCTGGTCTATGCACTGTAGTCAGCCATGTGGAACAAAAACAAGCTGTGTTAGTTTTCTACTGCTGCAAAACAAATTACATAAACATAGTGACTTAAAGTAGGATGCTAGTTTATTGGATCACAGTTCTGTACGTAAGAGGTCTGATAAAATGAGGTTAGATTTCTGCTATATCACAAACCTGAAATCTAGATGTTAATCAGAGTTCTCATCTGGGGGTTCTGAGACACAAATTCAGTTCAAGCTTATTCTTGGTGGAATTCTGTTTCTTGACATACGGCTCCCTCTATCTTCAAGCCAGCAGTAGCAGCTTCAAATCTTTATACTGCAAATCTTTAGCTTCCTTTTCTTCCACCAAACAGAGAAGACTCTGCTTTCAGAGGAGCTAGATTATGTTAGGCTCATCCAGATAATCTCTCTGTTTTAAGGTCAACTGTGCCATATAGCAACCTAATCATGTGAGCAAAATCTGTTCTATTCGCAGGTTCCAACTCTATTTTTAAAGAGGGGAATTATACAAGTGTAAGGGCTACCAAGGGGTTATTGTAGAATTCTGCCTATTGCTTTCCTCCCTAAGTCTTTATTTACCACTAAACTGTAAGCCAGTCATAGATTCATGACTGAGTTGCTCATCATAGTGTCCCCAGTGCCTAGTAAATGCAAAATAATGGGTACTAAATAATATAAGCAGTGGTATATGTGATTGCAGTTTTGCTCTTTTTATCATTTTGAAAAAATTATAGTAATGCACATGCATTATTATTCATTACACATTTGATAGAATTTATTTTCCTTCAAACTGCTGGCATTCTTTTTATCCCTGATAATCTTTCATAACTCATTACTTTAGGTAGGACCTGCATATCATGGAAACTAAGCAAAAGTTTCTCTTTCTTTGTCAAGTGGTTATAGGGAATTCTCCATGGGGACATAGGTAGAGGTGGAAAAGACAGGAACGACTAGCATGCATGGGAACAAACAGGCACTGGGCCACTTTATGGTATAACTTGTAAATTCAGGGCCAACTTGGG